TGGGTCCAATACCCATGGAGCGCACAAGTGCTCACAGCTGCACGATATGCCGAGGTCAGCCGGAACATCCTGAAGAAGACTATAAAGTGCAGTCGCTTAGACCAATTAAGATAGAGCGAAACCGCGATTTAGAAACCGAACAATCCCCTGTCCAGTCTGACGGTAATCAGACAGCCGCAACAACATCTACAGCAACAACATCTATGTATAGACACAAAAAGATGCATCTCTTGCAACGCTATCAACAAGAGCAGCAACAACAGTCCTTAAACACTGCCATACCATTAGCGAAATGTGATAGCAAAGCCAGCACGCCGGAGCTGCTAGAGCGTGAGTTTGCTTCACTAAGTGAGAATGCCCAGGTAGTGGAGAGAGTTCGTGCAGCATCCACACAAAGCAATTCAAGCAGTAGCTGCAGTAATAGTCAAAATAGCAACGTAACTTGTCGTAACAAGCAGCTTGCGAGAATAGCTGAGTTGCCGCCACGTAAATCACCAAGGGAGCACGCATCCACGCTGGCCTTGGTAAGTTGCATAATACGGCAGCGGCAAGATTCACTAAGCAAAACCAATTCCGAGGTAGATGAACCAGGGCCAGCAGCACCTGCGAATGTAGTTGCACCTATGCTAAGAGTACCACTGAAGCAGGAGTCAGTTGTATTGAGCTCGAATTCCCATAACACACGTTCACAAGCTGCCACGCCCGTAGAGGAACTGCGTTTTGCCACCGAAATAAGTGAGAACGTAAAACGCATGCGACGTGGACAAAACAAGTATGATACCTTGCCTTCCGCGCCAGCATTAGTCGCGGCACAAACGCCCGCGCTAACCAGATGTCGCCGCCCGACAGCAGCTGCCGCAGCAGCAAATGCTGCTAAATATTCTGGACGCCTCGAGTTTTCAGGCAGAGATGCAACCCCGAAAGTGCTGTTAAGTAAACGTAAACGCCGCCAGATATCCAGCACACCAGCTATGCGTGTGCCTCAACAGCAGCCGACGGGATCCGTATCTCTAGTTGCTGGTGTTCGTAAACTCCCAAGTAAAAAAGGAATACTTGAATATGAGATGGATAACAGTGCGCTTAAGGCACTAGATGCTAGCATGCAATATGCTAATCCAATTCTAATATCCTGGAAAATTGATAAATATCTGGAACTAACAGGCAAAGAGTATGATTTTAGTTCGGAGGAACAAATGCCACTCCTACAAACAGCTGAGCGTTACAATGAAGATGTGGATTTTCAGATGCGTTCAGATGCACGCACACCGCCGCCTACAGATTTTTGTTTTACCAGTGATTTTGATCTTTGCGATTTGTTAGCTGAAAGCTCTGGTAGTGGAGATGACGAAGACATATCTCTCAGGCGTTCTGGCTGCCGTCGAAATAGTAGAATGAATTTATATTGCAGCTACCAGCGTAAACGCAAATGTCTAAAATCAAATCGGACTGGTTGGCCCAGAGCGCAGAGACGACGAGCGACGGCAGTGTCAAATGCAAAACAACAGCCTGCTGAGCGGTCGAGCTTTCGAAAATTAAGTATTGGACAGTCTCAAGAAGCTCAAAAGCTTAAAGATTTAAAGCAGGAACATCTGGAAACAGAAGAGGAGCAAACGACAACCACGACGACAACCACAACTACCGATAAAGAAATTATCAAAGAACAAGATGATGATAAGTATGAGGATGGAGGTGGTGGGACCGGCAGCAATCGAGGAACTGCCGATGGGACAAAGCCAACTCGCCCGGCTACTGATATGACGCCTCCGGCCACAGATGTGGAGGAACAAGTAGAAAGTGGGGATTATTCGGGCGATGAAGCGGCAGCAAGTGTGGACAATGAAAGTCAAGTCGATGATGACGATGACGAAACAATGGCCGACTCTATTGACCAGTTGCATGATGGCAAAATAGAAATCGAAGCAACCGATGCTGATGTTGAAGAAGATGATGGTGAAGACGACGATGATGATGTTTTCGAAGACGCTTTTGGTGGGGAAAATATTCAACATGAAAAACTAAACGTACAGAACTTCTCTCCGTCATTCGACGAAGAGTCGGCAGAGAAACGTATTCGTGTAACCTCCAACTCGCCCGCTAATAACTCTGATGAAAATCCGTCGCAGAAGAAGTCGCTGGTGACGCTGCAAGCCTCCAATGGATATCGCTTGAATGCCACATCTACACCGAGCACACAACAAACCCGCCAACAACAACAACGACGCACGCCGCAATTGAACGGAAGTCTGGGTAGCTGCATTTCACCCAGCGATAAATTGGGTGACCATTCGGACGTATTTACTGTGTCATCTGACGGTCTCGATACAGACCTGGATTTGAGCAATACTCAAGCCGGCGACTCTCTGGAGCATTGTTCGCATCAGAGATTGCAGCAGACAACACCCAAACGCAAGTTTGATCTCTCTAAGTATGCCCCTCCTAACAACGGCATGGCCGCAAGCAGCTGTGCCGCAGAGGCAGCTACTGCAGCGGTCAAATCGCTTGCCATATCGCAGTTTCTAAAAAAGGAGGTGCGTGTTACATGCCGGCGACTTCGGGCGCCCTTTCGCCGCTTTCGATATCGTCGCTAATCATCACTAGCATCATCATTTTGACATTTAACAAATCATCATTAGTTTAAGGGCAAAATTGTAAATTCTGATGTACAGAGAAGATCAAGAACATGGTTTATAAGGCTTATTACACAGTCCCTCCATTCGCAATTACAGTTTCGATATTTTTTTATTTCGTTGTCAAACTCCCTACCACTATCCCTCCATCCCGCTATTGTACATTATTATAATATGGCCCATTCATTGTCATCGTTGTTTGAACTTTTTATAATTGCGCAGGTGCAGTTGCCCCAATTCACACATTGTGCGTAATGATAATTAGCATAATTTAAAATACAATATCAGATAAATACGTAAAGTAAGATAAGTTTAATTTTAGCTTAGAACAAATTTAGTACTCTTTGAAGCACCTTAGATTGACTACCCAACTAAGGAATGAAATAACGAAAAGAAGTGATGGATCAATGCAGACAAATTGCATAAGCAGAGCGTATTGAATTTAAACAAATATACAAATCATTTAATTTTGTTTCTACAACAATATCAACTTGATGCTCAAATAAATTATGTATAACAAGAATATAAAACCAAAAGCAATTGTAAAAACTTAAAATCAAAGAGTACATTAAAATATATAATAAAAGCAAACCGACTGCATTTCATTAAAAACAAACAAACAATTTAATAAAATCAAACCACTTTTATTAAGTAAAATTGTTCTAATTAAAACTTCTTTGATCTTATCTAGACCTGCGCAGGCTTATTAAATATGAAGAATGTATGGCGGCGAACCCCAAGGGGGACTATTTCAGCAGCCTTCATAAACGCGACACCATAAGCTCGCGCGCTAAGTTAGGCGACAAGGAAAAAGAGAATATACCTCCTCAGGTCATTAAAAACAAAACGAATCAGCCGATATCCGATAAAAACGAGGAAGCCCGTGTAAATGGGGGTTATGCTACGACTTCCAACTTGGCAGCCATGTTTCGTGAAAAGCTTTTGATAGATGAACCAAAAGAGCCACCGAAATCTGCGAAACCTGTGAGTCGCAGTCGTAGTCGTAGCAAGACACTTAAAATAAATTCATCGAAGGAAACCAACTTGAACAGCGGAGGGACGGGTAATACTCCAGACGGACGCGACGCACATAATAAAGTGCGTAAAATACGTCCGCGTAGCTCGAGTCGACATTCTATACAGGGTATGTTATTTTCTACAATATGGCCAGTTTTATTTAATTTAAATAATTCATTTTTTGTTTTTAGGTCATAACCAGGATAAAAACAAGCTGAAGCATCCACGAAATGATCCAGTAGCTCTGTATCATTATTATCAGAATGAATGGCTCCACTTTCGTGACCAAATTCCAGGCGAAAAATCGCATACTGATTTGCGCTGGGAAATGCGCCAGAAGCTCGACCACAAATGACAGGGATTTAGTAGGAAAATGTGTTCATTAAAACTTAAGTCGAGCTGGCGCTTAAATGCAAAATAAAGTTGAAAATATTGTATTTTTACCAAACGTATCTACGTCGTACTATAATGGATATAAAGTACACATTTATTTTTTTTACGCGGCGACACAATATTCTATCTATAATGAAGCATTTTTATACCCTGAACCCATTGAAAATGGGAAATCAGGGTGTAATTGTTTTGTTGAAAGTATGTAACAGGCAGAAGGAGGCGTGGCAGACCCCACAAAGTACATATATATATGCTTGATCAGGGCGATAAGCTGAGTCGATTTGGCCGTGTCCGTCCGTCCGTCCGTATGTATGAACGCGTCGATCTCAAAAGATATAAGAGGTCCGTGTATATCACGCGCATATCAAGTTTATCACTAAAAATCGATAACTGCT